TAAAATAAAATTATATTATCTATAGAGACAAAATTATATTTGCACTATTTAAAAATGGTGTTCCAAATAACAAATTACCTATTTATTTATTTTTTATTTTTGTAATATTCTTTACATTTATTTTCAAATATCTTGCATTGATTAAAATTTTAGGAAGTCTTTACTTATTTATTTTTTTTTTTTTACAATGCACTTAGAGCACTTATGTATTTATTTTTAATTTTGCTATGGTTTGTCGAATAAATATAGCTAATAATTTGCTTAAATTTACAACATTTACAGGAAGTTTCTAGCTTGGCGAACAGCTGATTTGTTTACCGCTCGGACTCCGAATGTTGCATGCCGCACGAAGCGAACGAAGCGAAGCGAACGAAGTTGGCCAAACTCACCACTGGGCGGATTGGTGCGCGAGGGGGGAGCGGCAGTGGTGGGTGGAGGGGTGCTGGCAAGCAGATAGGAAGGCATGCAGGCATAACTGTAAACGGTTGTCCCGTTGGCATTCAGTTGAGTTTTGGTTACTGCCGCCAACGGTTAACGGTTTTTGGAGCATGCCACGCGCCTAAAGGCTGCCATTTGCCACTTGCCACTTGCCGCACGGCAAACAACAGACAGAAGACAGAAAATAAGCAAAGCTAGGCTGAGCAAATCTAAGCAAAGGAAACATAAATAAACAAACAATTTTTTGGCAACGTTTCGTTTTGGGCAGTTCGGTTGTGTGTGTGTGAGTGTATGTGAGCATAAGTGTATGTGTGTGCGCGTACTTTAATTATTTAATTTGCGAGGCGTCGCAAACATGCGAAACTCAATTGGCCGCCAGGTGGCAGCCGCAAGATTTTGGTGGCTAACGGAAACGCAAAAGCAAACGGAAACGGAAGCATTTAAGCAAAGTGCCAGCACACACACTCCCCCTCCCCAGACAACCGTGTGCAATGCGTGCGCGTATGCGTGTGTGTGTGTATGTGTGTGAGCGCCTTGCGAATGCCGGCCAGTTGCAAACTTGCAGCTGAAACTTGCAATAAAAATTGAATACGAATACTTGTAGAAATACAAAAAGCAAAAAAAATAAAATAAATCAAAATAAAGGGAGAGGGAGAGGGAGAGAGCGAGAGCGAGAAAAGAAAAAACCTCATATCCTCGGCGATCCTTTGTGCGGCTCTATGTGTGTGTGTGCGGCAAGCAAATAAATGCTTTTGCAACGCTTTTTTAGCCATTTTATCTCGAGTCGAAATACTGTAAAAAATTGTAAAATGGATTTACGTTTCGTATTCATCGTTATACTGCTGAAGTGGACCTATGCACAAGGTAAGACCATGTTCCAAGTGTATTCACTATGTGTGAGTATGTGCATGTGTGTGGTTAGTGTATGTGTTTGCTTGGGCATTCTGTTTGTGCAGCAGCAGCTGTTCAAGTGCAGTTTCTCACATTTGTTCAAGTGCTGCTGCAATTGCAAATATGCCATAGAAAATGCCTCATATGAGTATTTATTATATACACACAACTGTGTACGTATGTGTGTGTGTGTGTGGGTGTGGGTGTGCGTGGCACAGTAATGAGGTGCATTTAGCTGAGGTAACAGACCGACTGGCCTCCAAGTGCATACGAGTGTGTGGCAAAAGTTTTGCAATCGAAAAAGAAACTTTTGAAACGCACAGCATTTTATTCTCTCTGGTCTTTTTTGCTCGGTATTATTATTGATGTTGGTGCTACAGGTGAAAAGCGCTAAGGTGTTGCCAAGTGCCAGCATAGGCAAATGTATGCTTTAGCATCCTGCCAGGACGATTTCTATAGCGAAATATTCGAGATGATATCGAACGGTTAAGAGCATAGAATGGGAGAATTTGATGTATTTAAGATTATTTAAAATTTGAAATTATTTGAAATAAGTAAAAAGGAAAATTAAAAGGCATAACAAAATTGTTAAATAATATTAAATCGATATAAATAATTGTTTGAAATATTTTTGATATGAGCAATTTGTAAAATATTTATTTTATTTATTTATTTTTTTTTTAAGATTATGTACAGTTAATATTATTTTACAAATTTCTATATATATTTCAAATACTTTCCGATAAATATGTAGCTTTATTTCTATTGGCTGACAATCTCACTAAAACTCCGAGTCTCCCACAATATTTCCCTACAGAATATTAATTGAAAATTAATGCCTTCTCCTACTGCGTACACATAAATAAATAATTTGATTGGAACTTTTCATCTCTCCGTATGTTTTTCCTCATCACGAGGCAAAGCCACTCAACAAAGTTCCACTGATAATTATATTTGCTTTAAGTAACTAGTCAAGTATTTAAGTTACAGTTATGAGCTAATGTATTGATTAACTGTCTTAGAAGAGATCTCTCTTACACCATGTTCTTCTCCCTCTGTCTGCCTCTCTCCCTCTCTCTCTCTTTCTCTCTCTCTCTCTCTGTCTTTATCCTAGTTAGGTTTTATTTAACATTCATTTACTTGCGCTCAAATAAACTTATTTGCTTGCTTTTCATACGAAAAACTTTTGCCAGCCACAAAACAATTTCCGCACTCAGTTTTCTTGGGCTGCCACGCCCCCTGGCAGTCCCTACCATGCCCTTGCCAACCCACTCGCTGCCTAACAACTCAAACAAATTAGGCAAAAGGAGCAAAAACAGAAACCGAAAAGAAGAGAACAAAAAAATCGAAACAAGCTACCCATCGCATCGGCAGTAGCAGTTGGAGTTGGAGCTGGAGCTGGAGTTGGAGTTGGAGTTGTGGCCCGAGGGCAAACCAAATTATGAATGAGTTTTCTTGTTTGGTCTCGTATCTCTTTCTTTTTTTTTTTTTTTTTTTTTTTTTGATGGCCCGTTGCATAAAATATGCGCATTTAATAAGCCCCAAAATGAATATGTACATACATATATAAATATAGCC